TTATAGTCTGCTATTAACTGTATGATAATGCCATTATTAACACCTATATAGGCTTATAAACACAATCATTTTAATAAGCATATTGTAAGGACTTACAAGGGCCTTATTACCTATTAATTAACGGTATTGCAATATATAAAGTGTTACCCATTACATATGTGGGAAGATACCAGCCGTTTTTAAACATTACTGAAGTAAAATGTTTTCGATTTTTTTTAAATGAAGTTTTCTGATATTTCTATATACTCGTCCCATTTTTTTTCCAATGGAATTAAATATTTTAAAAAAGATGGCACAAAGTGACATTTTAAGCGTATGGCCTCAACTACCTGACAACTTGATAGCAACATGCTAACATTGTTAGGTATGAATTATTTTCCTAAATAGTATGGTTGTATGTATTAGGATGAGCTGTTTTCTGACCGACTTGTTCTTGACCGTGTCGTTTAATAGTCTCGAGATCATTTTTGTTTCTGTTTAGGAGATTCCAAGTAGGTGGTGTTACAAAGAGTGTCCAGTAGATTGCGCTTTTTAACCACAGGTAGATTTCTCATCCTGGCACAGTCGAAACGGAAAGAGAAATGGGGATTTCTGATTTCATCATAGTCTCTTAAAGTTCGGTCAGATATTTTTAGCCTCTGCTCTTCTGTGGAGTTGTCATGGTTCACTGGTGTTTTCACATCTATCACCGTGTTGGAAGCAACACTCTCACACACTTTTTACCTTGTTCTCTGTGTGTGTGTGTGTGTTTTGACTCCACGTTTGACTGACCTCCCATCTGGACCCTACTGGACCCAGACCACTGGTTCCCCAACTTGACAGGACCAAAAAAAACATGCTCCCTGGTGATTGATTATTAATAATCCAAAGCGTGGGTCACCCCGGAGCTCGTGCTCTTCCTGAGAAGGGGGTCTTACAGCTGACTGTGTTTGTTTCCAACTGGTGTTTACCGTCCTGGACCGCTATGTTCGCTATGCAGGACACCTGATCACCCGCCGGATAAACATATGCACACATGGAGAGTGTGCATGCGTGTGTGTGTGTGTGTGTGTGTGTGGGGAGGGGCGTGCGGGGGTTGCTATAAAAGTGTGGGGGATCTGAGGGGGGAGGTTTGACCGGAGGAGCCGTGCGGAGCCCCGATCAGCGCGCAGAGAGGGAAAAAAAAACCTTCTATCCTCCAGAAGAGCAGCTTCGGGAGTCTTCGGGAGTCTTCGGGAGTCCTCGGCTGTCCTCGGCGGTGAGCGGCGATGCCGTGGCTGCTGTCCTCCCCGCTGGACTGCGCGTCCCCGTCGCCGTGCCAGCGGCAGTGCGAGCGCACGGCCTTCTCCTTCTACTGCGCCGTGCGCGAGCGGCTGCCCGCGTGGCTGCTGGAGGACATGCGCGGCATGGAGGTGTTCTGCTGGGACGACGGCCGCCCGCGCGCGTTCCGGCCCTCCGAGGCGCTGCTCTACGCGCTCGTGCACGACCACCAGGACTACGCGCGCGTCCTGCTGGAGCGCTACTCGGTGGGCGCGCTGCGCGCGCCGCGCTGCAGCTTCTGCCGCGCGCGCGGCGGCGGCGCGCCGCACCTGGCCGTGGCCGTGCGCTACGACCGCGTGGCCATCCTGGGCATGATGGTGCGCGCGCTGCGGGAGCGCGAGGAGGCGGGCGAGCGGCGGCGGTACCTGGACGAGTGCGGCGCGTGCGCGCACGCGCCGGACGCCGGGAAGAGCGCGGTGCAGCTGGCCGTGGAGCTGTCGCGCCCGCGCTGCCTGCTGCTGCTGCTCGCGCACGGCGCGCGCCCCG